AAAAGCACAATTGGTAGGAAGCACGAGTTCTGTGCCCAAACTCCAGCGAAAGGTATTGCCATTCGCCAGCTCCTTTCCGGTAAAGTTGTTCACTCGAAACCCCCACCAGAAAACGATTTTATTCCACTCATGTTAAGAGGACAGGATTCGTCAGTAATTCATTGCTGTACCGTTAGGCCAATCTGCAGGAGTGAGGCTCAGAACGTTCCGCTTACGAAAACTGTCAAAGCTGGATATGACCTCTATCGACTGAATACGACCCTCCGCTCAATGAGCAAGCATGACCTCGTGATGGGATTCTCTCAGCAAAACTGTACCCTGATGGTAATAGACCATTTACGGCGCAGTTTGTCCATGATAGGTGGGACATTTCAAGAAGGTTAAGGGGGCGAAGTTTGCCAACAGGATGCGTACCTGCTGCACCTCCACCACAAGCTTGAGCTCTTGTCTGTCCACATTTCCCACATGAACTTCTGCAATTTTCCGTCATCCATAGGACATTCTTCTGACATTCGCCTGAACTCGCCCATGTCTTGCAGTTCTTGTGACGATCAGAGCAATCTGAAAGAAAAAGTTGAAATTCCCATTGGTATATCTTCTTAAATGGATACGGATTTCGACGCAAACGTGTGGGCAGTACAAATACAGTCCTCATTCTACGGACTGTCGGGGCGGCACAGCCGCGCTGCACTGTGACGCGACAGCGGCTGCGGCTCGGTGACGGTGAATCAGCTGATTTCGATGGAATTCGGCTGCAAATTCCTACTTTTTCAGCTCTTCAAGCTTCTAAAGTGGAAGGTGAGTTATTCTGAACAATTTTGAATTGTACTGGCTCTGATTTCCTTTATTTTTATGTCGATTATATGCTCTTTTCCTTGTATTTTGCCTTATTTCAGGCATTTATTCAAATGGCTTGCATTCTTTCAGATTCATTCAGAGTCAGTACAATTTAAAAAAATTTTGAGTCAGTACAATTTAAAATTGCTCAAAATAACTCACCTTCCACTTTCGAAGCTTGAAGAGTTGAAAAAGTGGGAATTCGCAGCCGAATTCCATGGAAATCAGCTGATTCGCCGTCACCGAGCCGCAGCCGCTGTCGCGTCACATTGCAGCGCGGCTGTGCCGCCCCGACAGTCTGTAATGATGAGGAATGTGACTAGCTGGGTGGTAAAAGGGGGGTAGGGGGTGATCCACTCGACTGGTGCCCTTCTTTCGTTTTAGAGGGAAAACCACAGCAGTGAGGGAGGTGTCCTCTGCCCCGCCCATCTGGTTACCACAAATAGGGCATAGTTTTCATGAGGTGAATTCATGGAACTTGCTAAACTTTGGAGCGGAATACGGTAACAGTGATTCGGACTGCCTAACTAACTAGCCTGGCTCGCTTTCCTAACGGACGCTTCTTTGATAAGAGAGATTCCGCAATCCGTTGAAAGCTGCTACCGTAACCAGATCGCTGTGGAACTCCCTTCCCTCTCCAGGCTTAGGAGCACGCGCTAATCACGCCATAGCTCATCGAACATTACGTGGAAATGACTGTACCTCGAACCTGGGATCTTAACCAAGCGCGC